GACATGGTACCATCAGTTTTTACTTTCATGTTATACACTGTAGAAGAAACAAATAATAACCTAACATGAGCAATAAGAGTATTTCTCTCATTTCCCTGTGTGTAAGATAGAGCTGCCCAGGGTAAGAAAGGGGTGTAGGACATTTCTATCTTACACCTCATTTCATTTGACATGATGTAATAAAGGCTCAACAATGATGTGACGTCACGAATTTGGAAAACTCTGAAGCTGCAATGTGGAAAAGGCGTCATGATGAAATAAAAACCTTTTACGATATATTTACCGTACACGTATAAAAGAGGAGATCTATTTTTCTGCGCAAACTATGTTTGCAAATATGGGGTATGTTTAATCTTGCCGACAGATTCGTTCTCGTAAAAAAAGCTTGGGGAAAAGTTGATATTTTCAAAATGGTAGCCAGTCCAAACGCATTTTCATGGTTTCGTGGTATGCTGGTTAAGATGGAATGAGATAAATACACTAAAGCCAAGGGTTTTGCCAAATTTGAAAATCCTGAGGGTGGAATTTCCCTATCCTACACCCCTGAGCATGGGATAGTCTTAATTTTCCCCTTTCACACAAGTCAATTCTCCAATATCTGTTATATTATTGACCAAACAGGTTAAAGTCACATAATACGTATCCTTTATTTTACAAGGAAATACACCTTGACGAGGACGAATACCAGATTCTGTACATCTGTTATGTAGCAATTGGTTGGATTCTTAAAGTTTGTACTGTTATTCTAACCATACTTCATGCTTATCATAAAATGTATCATAAAGCTACTTCCTCAGCAGAATTAAATGTCAAAGTAAGGATACCATTCTGACAGAACATTTGATGATTAACGTGATATCTTATAACAAAAAAATTGCGAGAGGAGTTTATTTACCACTGAACAATAACAGATACAGATATGTTTGTTAGAATTCATGATCCTCACAAATGCTGATGGTCAATAGTATATCCGGCTGTACCTAATTCTATTCAACTTAATTACTCCTGACACTATTTTGTCATTGCGTATTGCAGAGTTATCTGCTCTTGTGAGCAGGTATTGATTGTTGCGTCATTTGTTTGTGAGAGTAACGTCATCAATATTTGAGAAAACAACGTAATTTTCTCAAACAAACCAATGACATAACAATCAATACCTGCTCACAAGAGAGGATAACTCTGCAATACACAAAGACAGAATACAACTATTTAAAAAAGTCTTTTTATGACTGAAGTATTTGAGATTATATATGGTACAAATATATTGTAAAACAAGGCCATTGGGTTAAAAAATAACTGTTATATGACCGGAGTGCTTTTCTCTCTCATAAGACTCTGATCTGTCTGTTTACAGTCATTTAGACAAACACCCTTTGGTAGCCATTGCTGAAATATAAACTTCCAACTTTCATTTAAAATTTGAATTTTGTATATTCTAACTAAATCATAATGTTGAGATGAAAATTCAATAAGTTACAATAATAACAATTCAAGGCCGAAGTTTCTACTGAAAGAAGTTGATTTAAAACTGACTTCTGTAAACTGGCAGCCATTTAATTTCATTGATCCTTTAACAAGTATAACAATATACTTTATGCTTTATTTTTACTTTGAATATTCAAATTCAGTTATTTAAAAGGATTGTTCAAATCAAAATGGTTTCTAATTCAAACAGTAATGTTAAATTTTAAACTTGCTTTATAAATCTGACCAGTAAATGATTCAAAAACAGATCATTTTTCATGTACATTAACAATTGATAACAAATCCTGACAAAATTTAATTTATGCAAGAAAGGTCTCAGTGTTAAAAACAAATGGTAAAAATAATAATTTTCAATATTGTTAGGAGATCTATTCTTCTAAAGGATAATTTTCGCCACTCTAAAGTCCAACCCCCGCCCCCCTTCTATGAACAGATATACAATTAAGGTACATGTATAATTTTATTTAATTAGACATCTATACTTTAAATGAGCATGTATAGTTTTGTATGAATTGTCTTGATGAGATCTTAGTCATAATTTCCACAATCATTACATAAATATATTGACTTAAGTTGTTAGATGATCAAATTTAAAAATCAATGCATACATGAATTGTTATTTAATTTACATAAAATGAGAACTTTACATTATGCTGATGAGTAAATATAATGACTTTAAAAAAGCACCTTTGATAGAATGACAATGAGTCAGCATGTCATCTTTTGACTTTATTAAAAAAGTCACACAAATTATGTAAATGATGATTAGGAAATTTCAGAAGAAACTTGAGGATTTTGAAATCTCCATTTATGGAAAATTGTCTTCAAGAATGGTGCACTGTTAGTATAGTCATTCAAGTGATGGTACAATATTTTCCCTCTTACCCTGGACAGGTGTATCCGCACTTTTACCGGTGTGAGATTTCCTTGTCTCACCCTATGGTTGAGACGGGGGGATTCCCCTATTCATAACAATGGCATGATGTCACTTCAACAATGCAATGACGTCATGTCAACAATCCATCAACATCACGTCAACCCTGAATTTAGCATTTAACGTTATCATTACATTGTGTATATGATACACAATGGGAGAACAGGGTAAGAGAAAAAGAATCATTCACCCCCTTGTGGATGAGATAGGGGAATCTCAACCCTCGGGGAAAGATTCTGAAGTTGCCAAACACTTGGCAAAGCCTCGTGTTTGGCAACTTAAGAATCCTCCCCCTCGGGTTGAGATTCTCCTATCTCACCCCCAAGGGGGTGAAAGATTCTATTAGTCTTCAATATGTAGCAGAAATAAACAGCATTAACATGATGTTCAAATAATTCCAATAAAATCAGAACTGCAACAATAATTATTAAACCAAACCCACATGGCGAGTATTTGACACCATACAAGATCATATCAACAAATGGACCCAATTTAAGAAGAAACATGAACTTAAAATGTTGTTAAATGAAGTCTTGAATGAAAATTCCAACAGAAAGATGAATTCTATGATGGAGACATCAATTCCGTCTTTGCGTATTGCAGAGTTATATGTTCTTGTGAGCAGGTATTGATTGTTACGTCATTGGTTTGTGAGAGTAACGTCATCAGTTTTTGAGAAAACGACGTAATTTTCTCACACAAACCAATGACGTAACAATCAATCCCTGCTCACAAGAGAAGATAACTCTGCAATACGCAAAGACGGAATTAGATAATATAAATACTGATTTGTGAATATTTTGTTCAGTATTTATGTTAAGTAGTCATTTAAACCAGAATAACAAAAATAAAATTTAAATGTGACTGATAGAAAAAAGATCAGAAATAGCTAGTGGGGAAGATATCAACTTTTGTTCAATTTTGATTTAAATGTCACTTTTTCTATTGCAATGAATTTCAACAAGAGCAAAAAATGAAGAAGAAAAAAATGAATTTCTAACAAGCAGGCTTATGTCAAGGCAAAACAAATGAAATGATGCCAGAGGAATATTCTATATTTGTTAAATTCAAATGTGTCTGAAGGTGTGCTGTACAATAACCTTTCATCCCCTCTCACACATCATTAAATTAGTCACACTTCCAACTTTCAATCCAACATTTGCACCTTTGTTATTTACAATCTCAATTTTAAATTTTAACAACAAATGTTTGTACAAATATTACTGTTTTCATACAACATATATACTTAATTACATATATCACAGTTGACACTTTGAACCACATTGTCACATACATGTGCTATCATCACAAATTACCAGAAAACAGGCAAAGCAAAACATTTTCGAATTCCCAAGTCTCATTTTTTCCTTCAAAGTAAATGTAAGCTGGTATTTCAACACAAATAAGTTCCACATGATTTGATTCAAGAAATAGTCTTGAAACAGCATTTTTTGGGTAAAGTTTGTCAGTTTGTCTCAAATTATGATTCAAAGTATACAGGATTTTTTTAATTCCTTAATGAGGTATCAACTACAGTTTGATACTGGAAAGATATTAGAGATTCCCTCCCCATTGTCTAGTATATATATATGATAAAAAATAAGACAATACATGTTTATTTAATAATAATTATCTGTACTGTCTATACTGCATGATATCCCTTTCCTTTATCTACTAAACCTAACATGAATTAGGTCTTCTGTTACTGGTTAGCTGGTCTGAACTAAAAACATTGACATATTTACAAATAATTCCATAAAAAGGTAAAGATGTGTAAAAAGGCTACATCAAGAACCATATAAAAAGAAGATATTTTTTCAATTTTGAAATCTAAAGACAGGTTTTCTACATATTTCTCTAGAAATTTATCTGAAAGAGAAACAAGAGGCCCATGGGCCTTAATGGTCACCTGATATATGTATACAGAGAGTTGATATTTGTTTTTAACATGAACAGAAATATTATCCAAAGTGACAAAAAACAATAAAACCACCTTATTCAATATCTAGCATGCAGATTTAAGACTGAAAAGTATTTGAAACTAGCACCTCTGATTCTAAACAAGGAAAATGAAGAAATTTTATTTTAGCACACAGACTCCATTGGGCCCCACCCTACGGCCCTTGGGGGTAGGGATGGCTCAAAATTTACAAAGTATCAAACTGTCAACTTAAGGTTACAATTCCAATCAAGTTAGCAACATGAAATATTGAAAGTATCATTTGCCATTATAAACCATAACAAATTTTACCCCCCCCCCCTTCCCCCTGGGAAAACGCGAGACCCCAGGGTCATGAAATTCACAATTGTGGTAAAGCACCTTAAGACCCTTCCATCTATGAAGAGTATTTGATTCTACCATATCTGGGTCTTGAGAAGAAGATTTTTGAAATTTCAGTCAATTCAACCCTTTTTGGCCCCGCCCCTCAGGCCCCTGGGGGCTGGGGACCATATAATTCACAATCTTAGTTGACCTTTGGCCATGGAAGGTTTCTGCAAAATTTCATTGAAATCGGTTTAGGGGTTTTGGAGGAGAAGTCGAAAATGAAAATTGTTTACGGACGCACGCCGGACAAAAGACGATCGCAATAGGTCACTTGAGACTTTGTCTCAGGTGACCTAAAAAATTTAACAGGAAAAAAATACAGCTGTGAGAATACCGGTAGCCATTTTTGTAATACCCATCAACATTCTTCCTAATATTGAATGCTTCTCACATATCACTTTAATCAGGGACAGTATATATGTCCCTGCTTTAATCCATTTTATGAGATAGTTCATTTTTACCTATTTTTATTTTTTAGAAATTCTTTAATGATACAACTCAAACAGCTTTAATTGATTCATGATTCATGTATTAAAAAAGTATGGGTAACAGAAAAAATATGGATTGAATCATCCCGTATCTTTTCTGTTACCCATACTTGCACACTTTAACTGCTTTAGGTTGCTCAGGTAGAAAAAAACCTCACTTGTATTGATTAAGATTGTTCTCTGAATATAATCACACTTACATAAAAGAAACATAAACAATCATTTTTTTTGTAGTGTAGAATACTTTTACACTCCAATGACAGGTCGTTCGAGTCATTGTTTCAAGTTTCTCTATGTCTAAATGTATTCTTGTTACAAAGTAATCCTATGTAGATTATCAACTTTCTCTTTTGTGTACATATTTTATTCATTGCAAGAAAAAAAGCTAAAATCTATGTCCTTAAATTAATTCCCGAGACCTGAAACTTTCTCTGATGTATGAAGGAAAACAGTTCAAAATTTCCACAATAAAAATAACAAATATAGATATCTAATGACTATGATAACACTCCAATTTTCCACATATTCACTTATTCAACTCATCCTGTTTGTGTTTGGATTTACCTTTTTTATATACACCATAAAATGACCATATTAAAAAATCTGTTTCTGATCATTTAATAAGTATATAAATACGATTTGTCCTTGTAAAGAAGTTGTTTTCACCAGAAAAAGAATCACACATAAGGTAACACATACAGTAACAATAGTTTTGATCACAACACAGTCAGGAATGTATTAAATCCCATTTACTTGTAGAAAAATTTGAGACCTCTCGATCCCCTACTTCAATGTCTGTGTCTGTTTCTGACGAAGTGTTGGTGGTAAGGTCCAGAGGACCATCCTGACACTTCTCATCTTGGTCATCTGAGCTCTTGTCTGTGCTTAGATCAAGCTTGATGGGTGATGTTGGAGAGAGGGAACTAAGGATTCGATCAGTCTGAGTGGACGTCGTTTGTGTCGTTGTGACGGGTGTAGATAACATGGTAGAGGATAGGAGAGGATTCGATGTGAAACATGATACATGCATTATGTTATGTACCGACATAAGCTGCGACGGCATTGGTGAGTGAGGAAGGACACTGCCCGGTGATAACGGCAGAAATCGATTTACAGGGGGCGAGTGTACCGATCCATGGGGGGAGCTAGATGGCAGAGACGGAGACAATGGAGTAGGAATGTTTGACAAGTACAACGATTTGTTATTTTTTGCTATCTGTTTTTCATTTTCACGATAATAGTGACCATGTGTTCGTACATGCTTTCTAAGAGAACTTGGGTCTGTGTAGCGTTTGTTACATCCTGGCATTTTGCATATATAAGGCTTTTCTTCCTGATGAGTTCGCACATGTTTAAATCTGTCACTTGAGTTTGAATATGCTTTATTACATCCCTCAAACGGACATGCGTATGGCTTCTCACCTGAAACAATAAATTAATCAAAGGGTATTTGCAAATAACTTTTACAGACATATAGTTTAAAGGAAAGAAGTACTTAAATATTAAGCTGTTGGTGACTAATATAAGTCTAGGTGCTACATGTAGGTGAGCTAATGACAGTCAGTTCATCTTGGACACATTGCAGTGAAATAAACTTAAGTTGAAGGGATGGGGTATCATTTGTGTCCGATTGTTCAGTGGTGATTAAAGGCATCACGATTCACTGTGATGCAGCAACTACATCATAAGTATTTGCACTATACATTTAATTCATGATGAACTTTTTCCAGATTTCTATCATATTATAATTAGACCTTTCAGAGTAACATTCATTTTGATTGGCTTGTCTCTCATGGCTTGACAATTATGATGGACTGTATATTACTTATGCTCAGGCAAACTTAAAATCGAAAGTGTGGAAACAATTTCACTTCAATATATATCAGTTGTAAAATTAAGAAACCAGTAAAAATGAAAATGAAAATTAGAGACAGGAAACATGGGACACACAAAGGAAAGGCGAGAAATAGTTGTCTAACTCTGAATACATGAGGCACTGTAAACCAAACTTGATGAAAATCGGGCAAGATCTTACAGTCTTCAAGTGTTAAGTTGCTTTTTTATTTTATTTATTATTAATCAGAACTGAATCGAAAATAATCAAAATGTGGCATTAATATTGTATGTGTGATGCACATCCAATTGTGAATGAAGTGTATCGTGACAGCTCTGGTGACATATGTGTACGGTAATAGTTTCATCAAAATATCTCCTGTCTACTTGAAGTTGATGTCCTAACACATTCACCCCTGAAGACACATTTGAACTCTTCCAATACAAAGGTTGGAATAGTTCATTATGAAACTTCATGGGTGAATGAGTTAATACAAATTAGACACACAACCAGACAAGACATCAGGTGAACCTAAAGTCTCCCCAGGTCTGGATGAACAAAAGAAACAGCTATCTGAAATACATGTAGTTTCAATTATATATTGTGGCTATCGTCTGTGCTGCTTCTCACCTGTATGCGACCTGTTGTGTATTTTGAGATTTTCTAGTCGTGAGAAACACTTTCCACAGATACCACATTTGTGGGGTTTTTCGTTCGTATGCGTTCGTATGTGGATCAGCATCTTGTACCTAAAACACAGGTAAATAAATACTAGTCAGGGTGACATAAGCCATGGTAGTTAAGTTGTACAACAAGTAGTTACTTAATTAGTAACTGACCTTAACCAATCTTCTTAACCTGGTCACAGGAGCGGCAAATGTAGGTTAGAACCAGCATTAGAAGCATGGCATGTGATGAGCATCCTTAGATACATAAGCCATGCAAGTTAAGTTGTACGTAACTGACCTTAACCAATCTTCTTAACCTGGTCACTTAAGCAGAAAATGTAGGTTAGAACCAGCATCGCATGTGATGAGCATCCTCAGATACATAAGCCATGCAAGTTTAGTTGATGTGGGATCATTAATAACTCGGAAACTGAGCTTAACCATTCTTTTTTAACCTTTGTGCAGACAGACGGACAAACAGACAGACGGCAATCGCCAATCTATAAATATGTGTTGCAATCTGGCCAATAACAGGACATTCTCTTTTTGCAAAGGAAACCAAATTTTGCCATGATAATAAATGATATGAATGTCAATCACTATAATCATGTAATGATGTTGTTAATGTCGCAGTCATAATCGTTCAAACACAGTTTATGGTCATTAAATTAATACAAGTCATGCAATGTTTTTTCTCTCTACCCTTTCTGAGTTCAATGTTTTAACAGATCATCTACTAAACTGTTTGGTCCTATTACTGGTTCTAAAGCGAATCTTCTCTGCATGACAAGTTGTAAGCAAATTTTCGGGAACATGCATTTTATCATAGATTATTATAAAACAAGAGGCCCATGGGCCTTAACGGTCACCTGATATATTTATACAGAGAGTTGATTTCGCTTTTAACATGAACAGAAATATTATTCAAAGTGACAAAAAACAATAAAACCACCTTATTCAGTATCAAGCATACAGATTTCAGACTAAAAAGGATTTGAAACTAGCACCTCTGATTCTAAACAAGGAAAATGAAGAAATTTTAGCACACTGACTCCCTTGAGCCCCACCCTACAGCCCTTGGGGGTAGGGCTGGCTCAAAATTTTCAAAGTATCAAACTGTCAACTCAAGGTTATAATTCCAATCAAGTTATTAACATGTAATATTCAAAGTATCATTTGCCATTA